CTCACGCTCTATCTCATTCTCTCTCTCAAATAAATAAATAAAATCTTAAAAAAAAAAAAAAAAAAAAGGTTACCGTGAGGAAATGTCACTGTGGGACTGCTGCAGAAATCCGTGAAGCACCAAGGGTCTAAGTCATGTTAGATTTTGGTGAACAAAAGAGGTCTACAAGCTGTCTAAGGATTTTATGTGTGGCTTAAGCTTAAGAAGCATTTACACACATCAGCTGCCTCTTTTGGCTTCTTCTCACAAAACAGGAGGAGATGGGAACTAACTAGGTGGCCTCGGTCACAGTGTGAAAGAGTTCTTCAAGCTTTCCCATTTTTACCTCTTCCCCTCTCTTTCCACTTTTCGCTACAAAGGAGCACAGCATAAGCGTCCTGTGTTTTGCTCCCCAGCTGCCTCCGTTACCTTCCAGTGGACTGGATGGCTCTCTGAGGACAAGGGCAATTCCAGTTCATTCTTGCAGCCCTTGCAGCCCCCAGCACAGTTCCCTCCCCAGCGTTTAGAAGCACTTGCCCCTGGCCCTCCCTCTTTCTTCAGGTTGACTGCCACTCTCCGTGGTTTGCCCGCAGAGCCCACTGTTTGGTCCTTTAGATTGCTCATGCTACCATGAATTCTAAGCTAGAAATAGTAGGAACTAATCCGTATCTGCTAAAATGTGTGGCTACTGCAGAGGAATCTAGGAAAAAGGTAATGAAGCAATAAGCTGTTTAAAATACTGCATTCTACTGACTTGTACTTCCAGATCTTATTTGCCTGAAGACTTGAGCAAGTAAGATCAAGAAGTGAAGAAGACCAAGAACAAAAGGTATTTAGAACTTTTGTTCTTGGAAACAGTACCCCTTGGTGAAGTCAATTTGTGAAACAGGGCATTCTCTATCTATTGCCCTTTTGGGAACTCAGTGTGTCAGCAAAGAAAAGGCCCTAAGATGTCCCGCAGTAAAGACATATGATTAGTTTTGTTCAATAGTATTTCCCCAAATTGCTTTACCATGGAGCCCTTGCTCCCACGTGACATTTACTAATATCCTAAGAAACCAAGTTTCCTCTGAACACACTGTGAGAAATGCTGGCCTAATCTGTTTTGTCTTTCCTTTGAATCATATAAACCCCTCTGAATTAAAGCTTTCAGATCAACTTGCTGAAGAGTCAAAAATATTTCTGCTAAGGCTTATGATGCCGATCCCATTCTGTCTTTAACCACAGTGGCCATATCAGACAAAGCCTGATGCTTTGTGGTGTTTTGTGGTCACGGCTCATGCATTTTGTGTAGAGAAGGTGGTGGATGCAGCCTCTTAACTCTGAGCACCCTGAGGAGCAAAGGCTGATAGCCTGGCCTGTCTGGGAGAGGAGTGTCCAACACCAGCCTTAAACCTCGCAGGCTAGAGAGCAACCGTCAGCACTCGTGAGTGCTGACAGCCTCAGTGACATCGTGGGCTCGAAACAGTGCTATTTGCCCACGAATTCTCCCTTAGAGCTATGATAAGTCAAAAAGTACAATAAGACCAGGATATGATTCACAAAAATGCAAGATATATGTAAGCACAAAAATGTAATATTCTAGGTATCCTGAGGACACCTCATTAACGTTAAGTTGCTTACAAATTATAGGTATCTCAGAGCAGCTGCTGTAAGGAAGGAAAGCATTACACATTATAATCATGGGATGGAAGCAATTGCCCCTAATGGTGCTGAAAATTTATGTTAGAAAAAATTAAATTTCTTACTTTTACCAGTCTGAAAAAGTGAAAACAAAATAAAAATGAGCAAATCAAAGGCTGGCTCCAGAGAAAGATAAAAAAAAAGTCCTTTGCCATGTATGTGTGGAAAATAGCATATGCTTTAGAAATCAATTCGGATATATTCTTGAAAAGCTAACTACTATTTAATCCGACTGAGGCAAGTGTTTCTGAACCCTGCTTTCTAAAACAAGGACAATAAAACACTGAGCTCTTTCAAATACAGCAAAGTCTGAGGAATCATTTTTCCACCACAGGTAAATGAAGCATGAAATAGGAAAGCACACCCTAGCAAGAGCGCCTGAGTATGTATGTCTGGTGTATTGTCTTAAGATAGCTCTCTCACCCAGCCTCCACAAAAGTACAAAGAACAACTCACCATGTCGTAAGTTGTTACAATCTTCTTTAGAACCTCAGGCACAATTCCCTGCAACTCCATCGTGGGATACTGCTCGCTCAGATTCAGGACCACCAGGGGCGTGTTATCAGGTCCCAGGAAGCGGGGAGACACCGCCAACATGCACTGCATGAGATTGGCCACAGAGGAGAGGCCACACAGCTCCTTGAATGACACCACGGCATTCTGTTAAGTGGAAAGAAAGGAGGCGCTTTGTAATTAACCGGAGGCTTTAATTTCTCGTGGATATTCTATTTGATATACTTGATTATACTTGAACTGCCTGGTTCAGTAACAACCGTTATTAGCAATGTCATGATAGAATTAACTAATGATTATTTCATGCCAGGAAAAATGGCTATTTTCCAAAATAAATAAGTTACAGACATTTTCAATACCAATTTATCAAAAGTACAGAAAATGCGAGTAAGTAAAATTCATCTGAAGGGTAAAGCCTCTTTTCAGATCAGAGTTCACAGTGGTGCTAAGGCTGATACGCAATCATGAGCAAACAAAAAGAATGGCTTCTGCATTCAAAAAAGGTAAAGGAAAAAAATCAAATCAGGTTTAAAGTAATTATCAAATATGCCAGCCATCCAAAAAGGAAAGGAGTATTTTTGAGGGAGAAACTTGAATGTCTCTCACCTATTTACACTGGTTCCAAATCAAAACCAAAAAATGGATTTTTTTTGGGGGGGGGTGTTAAACAACAAATTTATTGTCTCAGTTATGGAGGCTAGAAGCCCAAGATCACAGTTTTGATATGTTTTGTTCTTCTGAGGGCATGAGAGAGGGAGTGCTCCATCTCTCTTTCTTAGCTTTGGAAGTCATGTGAAGGCAAAGATCTACCAGCCAAAGATCTACCAGCCAATCTACCAAAGATTGTCAGCAAACCACCAGAAAATCTAAAGGAATTTTGAGGACAAAGCAGTTTACTTGAGAGGTCTGCCCAGTAGGAGACCCTGCCCTATTAGTGTATCCACTGATTGAAACGTTTCTCCCCTACCACCCCTCTCTCTCTTTTCTCATCACCAGAGCTATGCCATTAAAATATCCGGTAAGGAAAACCCCTTGACACTGTCAAATGTCACTGCTGGCATTCTTGGAGCACTTACCAAGTGCTAAGCGAGTAGGACTACTTAGTACCCATTACCTCGCTTAATCCTCTCAACCAGCCACACTGTGGGTGAGGGAGCGGAGTCTCGGCTATAACCTCTCTCTATTACTTCTCTAAGGTCACACAGCTGGTGAGTGAAGGAGTCAAGATTTTACCTGAAATCTGTTGATGCTGAAGCTTATGCTTTTAATTACCGTGCTATAACAACCGGTAAGTTCTAACCAAAATGGGAGTTATTCCAGGTGCCCTTGGGTCCTGATCTGGGCTGAGCTTGGGGGCCAGAGGGGAGGAATCCAGGCCTTCCAAGTCCTGTGTCTTCTGCTCTCAGATACCCCAGTCTGAAAAATGAGCAGCACTTTGGTTTTCTTAAACACTTTATTTTTATTAGTATCTCTGTAAACGTGGACATCATACTCTGCGTCATTCTGCTCAAAATGACTTGGATGTTGACTGCTCATGACAACAAACCATGACAGTGGGGTCTAGGGTGGGGTCTCCCAATCACTCCACCCCACCTCCCTATTTTCTTCACAGCTCTTGCTTGTGTCTGCGACTGTCCTGTTTGCTCATTCACCTGCTCATGGTCTCTTCCCCTCCCCGCCGCCCACGCCCAACTGAAGGCACGGCTCGTTCATGGCTGCGTCCTTGTGGCCCAGACTGCCTGCTCGTGACAGGTGCTCGTTAACCCCCACCACTGACTGCTCTGCCGGGTGCAGCGCACACACGCAGCGCTGGAGACAGGATGCTCCAGCCCCAGAGGACCGCCGCGGGAATGCTATGGCAGCCCTGGGGCAGGCGACGGCGTGCCTTGCTCGGAGCTGAGGGTGTCCCAAGCCATTCTCACCCTCAGAAACGGGGAAGAGCTCTTGAGGTTCCTGTTATGCCTTGACTTGGAGAGAAAGAGAATAAAATTCCTCTACTGTGGCAAGGTCTTTTTATGAATGAGGTATCTATAAAATCTGTACAGGGTTGAAATCTGCTGAATATTCTGAGTCAGATTTTACTTGCTGGTGGCATTCTTCTCTTAATAGTTATTTATAGATATATAACCAAATAATATATATGTTTTAATAAACACACGCCAAGCAGCTACCACAGACACGGCAGGCACTCTCACACGGTGGGCCAGGGTAGCGCCGGAAGCTCTCTGGGGCCGGCCCTAGTATACTGCTGGACATGTGGATGATCCTTAATTACATACATTAACTCCCAACTGAGTGCTTTTAGCCATTATTCAGTTTAGAGGTAATTATTATCTTAGACTTCTAATAAATACAGACACCACATGTCTTTTACTTAAACACTTGAATAGCCATCCTCCAAAATCAAGAGGCATCTCAAAACACAAACATACTGGCTTATTTAAGTGCTTGCTATTTTCCTAGCACTACAGCTCCAGAAGAAAGGGTTGGAACATGTGCCTTTTACTTTGGTAGGTCATCAAAGTGGGTTCTAGCGGAAGAATATTCCAGAAAACCAGAGATTCCCATGTACACTCTTAGGAAACAATGGGGATCTGTGAGGCAGACAAGGACTAGGATGTGGTTATGTAAGACAGCAACAAAACTGGTTTATTCTAACGCATTATCAATATTTTCGATACCAACTGCAGTTCTGGAAATGTGAATGATAAAAAAGAATGAGCCTAGTGGTAAATGTTCTCATAACAAATTGGAATTTACAAATTACTGAAAACCAAACATACTGTTGTAAAACCCAAAGCCCTCCAAAGTATTCATAGATGGTGCACAGGGTGCACTGTGAAGAAAAGCCGCTGAGTAAATGCTTAAACACAAGAACGTACCTGCATGTTCTCTCTCAGATCCGTGGCATCCCGGATCGGGGGCTGGGCATTCTTGAACACCTCATCCACAGTTTTAATCCACAGTGTTCTTAAAGATGCATATTCCCTGGATTTCTTCCCTTTTCTCACAGAAAGGCCCCTTTTATGAGGTTTCCCTCCTCCTCTTCGGTTAGTAATAGCCACGTGGACGAACAAAGAAGCGTGCGCTAGGACCTCTCCAGTCAATGACTGCAGGGGCACGTGGCGGTAGCCTGTCTGTAAACATTCAAAGGGAATTGTGTACTGGCCAATGAATTCGTCCCCAATGTAGTCATCATCTAGGACTACAAAGCGCACCATGGCCAGTTCAGGTAGGTTGATTTGAAATTCGAAGCTTTCATCAAAAATGGGAGCATCTCCATTCTGGTGCACTGTTTTTGTCCTTTGTTCCGCACAGTCAGCAGGGATTCCGTGAATCTCCACGTAGACGTAAGGATCCACCACATCTCCTTTGGCACCTGACCCTTTGGGTTTGGGAAAGTTCTGCCCACTGATGATTTTAATGTGAAGAAGCTGCGGTGAGACTCCTGGGACGGAGTCTTTCGTGTTGGCACTGAAGAAAGAAACCTCCTCCCTCATGATGGCTGGCCGAAGGACGTAGCCGCAGTTTCCGTTCTGCCGAAACCAGCCAATGTTCAGGTCCATCATCAGGCCTGGGGTCTGAAAGTTCATGGCTACAATCTGACAACCACACTTCCAAAAATCTTGAGGGTTCATGTTACTGGAGTCGATTCGCATTGGGCTAGGGAAAACCCTAGCGAGAAAACGTTTGTTGTAATTTACAAAGTCCCCTGGATTTTCATTGGCGTATTTGCTGGCAAGCACTTCGTTAAACGAACAGACTTCCCAGTACTTCTGAACCTGAAATGATACCTGAAATTCTTTGAACTGAACGGACTTACAGATGCTCACCAGTTCAGACAGTTCTTTACAGAGCTGAAATCGCTTCAAGGGCACGTTGTTGGGCTGCTCGACGTTCTCTTTGCCCATCCTCTGAGACATTTCTGCCCCTTCATCTTCATCAGTAACATCCCCTTCTACACCAGAGCAATTTGAGGACAGCTTCTTTGCTTTAATTAGTATCCTCCCTTTCAGGACATCTGGGGATGGTAGGTAAGATTCCTCCACATTGGGCGATGTTGTATAGAGCTTGTCCCCTAAAATTTTCTTCATGTGCTGAACCATTACCTTTTGCTGTTTAATAGAACAGTGATTTTCTAAACACAAGATAAGAGGATACTCTGAAGCAAAGAATGCATACTTGTTAATAATATCAATGACACTGCGGAAGACTATCTGAGAGGTCATGGTGTGGCCCGTGTAAATTACAGGTTCATTATCTGGCCCATCCCATACATCTAATTCAACACTCCGGCAACCCATTTTAAGAGCTCGGATGTATCCCGTGATGTCAGAGGGACCTCGGAACTGATCCTCTATTAAGTATGTATTATGAGATGAGTTTATAAAGTAATGAGACAAAGGTTGCTTCATATCTTGACAGACCTTCTTATGTTCCGGATCAAATATATAACAGTCAGGGGACATAAGGTACTTAGTGAACCCATCTATGGAAAGCCAGCCCTTTTCCTGGCCTTCTTTGGATGGCTCATATTTGTTAATAATTTCAAGGCTGATTTCCTCGTTTATATGTGCCACACCCTGCTCTGCCTCAAGAAACATCATAAGGTCCTTGGTATCAAGAAATTCCTTATTGCTTGAAAACTGAACTAAAAGGAAATAAATTTCAGGTCTGGTACAAAGCTCATGGAAAACCTCAACAAATTCTTCCTTTGTGACTTCAGTACCAGCTTTGTCCTTGGATTTGTGTAATTCTTTGAACTTAAGCTCAATTTTGCTAGTTTTTAAACCAGGATTGAGGTCTCTGATACACTGCACAGCATTACACAGAGTTATATGTCCAAGGTTATCTACATCAATTTCACCAAACATTTGTGAAACCCAAGAAGTCCTCATGTTGTCTTGGCTACTTTCTAACATATCAAGGGTATGTTTTCCATAAGAAATTAGGTACCGCAGTCCCGTAACCCAGATGTTCGCAACATCTGCAGAGTTGGCAACCAAATCAAGTGACTCATAATTCTCTCCATAAATGACTGAAAATGCACAATCTTCAGATATCTGGTCAGAAATGCCATTGCTGCGGAATATGTCTGTATTTTTTCCTGTTCTCACTTCCTTGATGGATTTAATATCAATCTTGGCTTTCTCAGAATCCTTCTTAGATGGTTCCCACCTCAGGCTCTGCATGTCAGCATCCAGTAAAAAATACCTATGGTAAATCCTGGAGTTGGAGCGAACCTTTTTGAGTTCTGAACCCTCGACCATTGAATTGATGCAATCGCTTGCGCTGCTGATCTTCTTCTCTGTCGGCATGCTACTGAACGAGACAGTCTTCTTCCTTTCTCTTTTCTGTTTTGTACCATCCTGGGAGAAAAAAAAAAAAACAACAGTGTACAAGAATAACATAAACATGGGTTTCTGTTTTCAAGACTAGGAATAAAAATTTAATTTCTTCAAAAAAAATCACACTGTTAGGATCTCCTATTGAATGTTCTATGATAAATGATACTCAGCCACTTCTAGAACTTAGAAGTGGCCCTGGAGTTTGCAGCCTAATATAAACAGGTAAAAAATCATTATTGAATAATTGCAATCCACAGGTGTCAAGAAACACAATTTCAGTAATACACAATAAAATCCTGTACAGAGAATGGACTACTTAATTCGCAAGGCTCAGGGAAAAATCAAAGTGCAGGACTCCTCGTTCAAAAACTGTTAAGGATTTTAGGGGCTCCTGGGTGGCTCAGTCAGTTAAGTGTCTGACTCTTGATTTTAGCTCAGGTCATGATCTCAAGGGCTGTGAGAGGAAGCCCCCATCAGGCTCCATACTGAGTGTGTGGAGCCTGCTTAAGATTCTCTTTCCTTCTCCCTCTGCCCCTCCCCACTCTCTGTCTCTCTCAAAAAAAAAAAAAAAAATTGTTAAGAATTTTAAGATGACCAAAGAGTATTAAGTCAAGTGCAGGGCCCTTCTGAGTGTGGGGCCTGCCCAACTGCACAAGTCATACACCCATGAAGAAGGCTCTGCATCTGAATGCATCTCCCACACCAGTGTTCCTCAAAGGCCTGTCACCACACCACTTGCCTCAGAACCACCTGGCTTACCTGATTAAAATGCAGGTTCCTAGACGCCTAGGATCAGATCTCTAGGGTGTAGTGCCCAGGAATTCGCATTGTAGGCAACACTCTAGGTAATGGGGATGCACACTGAAGTTTGAAAACCACTTCCTGACCGCTTGGACTCACTAAGATGTCTGGGCTATTTCTGGAAACGCCAAAAGACCAGAAACAGCTAAGTACTGACCACTAAACCATGTGTTAAATGAGTAGACACTGAAATTCCAGCAGAAATTCCTGGCTCTTCAGAGTCTCAGAGTAGTCCTGGTTCTCAAGACTTCGGACACATTCGGTTTGAGGGCTGCAGTTGTGCTGAGTCTGGGTGGGAGGACAGCAGAGGGTGCTTCTAACACCCTAGAGCTGGATTTACTAAAGCCTACTGCCATGCACCAGGCTAGTGCTTAGGACAGTGTCACTTAAGTACTTCCAGTGTCGTCAGATTATTGACACCATCAAGGGAAACACTCTCAGCAGCATCTATTCCTAAAGAATCTGCGTCACCAACGACACAGCCCTCAACTTCCCTGCACAGTGTCACCGGTGCCCAGTTAAGATGCTGATGCCACAGCTATGTGTGTATTGGAGTTCCTTCCCTATACAGACACCTTTTTTTTTTTTTTTAATGCTCACATGACCTCAAAGCATCTTTCGCAATCTTCACCTAAAACGTGATATTGCCTTTCAGGAAGTATATGAAATGTTTGATAAATCTTCAGTAAGTCATTATATTCATATGCAGGGAATAGACATGGAGGTTGAGATTATATAACTTTTGTGGCAATGAAGAGAAGAGCATGAAGAATATTATACAAAGGCAATTCTAACTTTTCTGCTCTGGAGAGAATCTGTTTTGAATAAAATCTCTACATTTTAGGGGCGCCTGGGTGGCTCAGTCGTTAAGCATCTGCCTTCGGCTCAGGTCATGGTCCCGGGGGCCTGGGATGGAGCCCCACATCAGGCTCCCTGCTCGGCGGGAAGCCTGCTTCTCCCTCTCCCACTCCCCCTGCTTGTGTTGCCTCTCTCGCCATGTCTCTCTCTGTCAAATAAATAAAACCTCAAAAAAAAAAAAAATCTCCACATATTAGAAAGTGATTACGCTATTCTCTGCATCTGAAATTTAAAACCACTCTTACTTTTTTTTTTTTTCCTAAAGATTCCATTTATTTATTTGACAGAGAGATAGACAGAAGAGCACAAGCAGAGGGAATGGCAGAGGGAGAGGGAGAAGCAGGCTCTGCACCGAGCAGGGAACCCGATGCGGGACTCGATCCCAAGACCCCGAGATCATGACCCGAGCCGAAGGCAGACGCTCAACCATCTGAGCCACCCAGGCGCCCCCCACTCTTACTTTTTGACTACCTATACTTCCAAAAGCAATATGCAGGAGGTAATTAAACTTAAAACTTTAAATCATATGGGTATCATTTCCCTCAAAGTTTCCAAATGAAGCAGAGAGGTCTTTGTGATCTAAATGCCAAGATACAACATAAAAGCCACAAGGCGGAATATTTCTTTGCAACTGAATCCTCAGAACAATAAAGTTCAAAAGACATAAAAACTTTGGCAATTGTATCCATAAGATGAATTGCATCATAGTTCTTCCAAATCCCTAAAGCATAGACTGTGTTCTATCTATTTAAGAGAGTTGGCATGAAATTAAATTTGTAATCAGCCATGCATAAGGGCCTGAAACAGATGTATAAATTTCCTATTTTTCAGAATGAAGGTTGCCTTTACCTTTAAAAACACACAAGTACCTTTAGTAAAGACAACATACTAATTAAGTAAGGGAATTTTATAATCGTTATAAATTATATCTCTAAGGTGCCACTAGTAAAAAGAAGTCACAAAGATAAATGGAGGTGCTTAGCCATTTATCCATTAAAAATATATATAGCATTTCCTCAACACTGTAATCTTCTATTCTGTCAGTCTTAACATACTGATTAATACTCAACTACTACTTTCTAATTTATTACAATTGATACATTTCAGATTCATAGGTCTCTTTGTTATTAAGAAGAAAAAGCCAAATCATAAAGCACGATAATAACATACTTATGTGCTCACACACCCTCATCTGTGGGACAGGCAGGAGCTTAAACACCACACTTGAGGCTTTCAAAACATTGCCTTGCTTATCACAAACCAGCCAGGTTTTGATTGGTGAGTTCTGATCATTCATTGCAGATATAGGAACATCCCAACACAGGGTGATATAATGACAGCAGGGACTTCCCTTACCAGAGACCTTCCCGTCTCTTCCCCACCCGCCGCCTGCTGTGGCCCAGAACCATTCTGTCCTCTCCAGAGCACACCACGGCCTCCTTCCTCTCCAACAGATGAAGCTATTTGCAGACCCCAACAGAGCCATGTGCTTGCTCAGAGACCAAACAGCAGAACAGATGTGCAAGCTTGCCCTCACCACTGGATGGACCAGGATCACTGGCTGGAAGCTACAGGTGGATGTGAAGGCAGGCTGGCCCCCCAGGACCCAGAGGAAGGGAAGAGAAGGACAGAAGCCCTTGTGTGGGAGGGAGGGACACTGGGGTTCAATAGCAGGAGATCCAGGCCCCCCAAATGGCCTGACTCCCAGAATCTTTATCCCACACCTACCTGGCTTTCACTTTTCAGCCCAGCCGTGATCAAGTACTGTTCACCCTTGAACAACTCAAGGATTAGGGGTGCCCATCCCCCACACAGTTGAAAATCCACAGATCACTTCTGATTCTCCAAAAACTTAACCACTCAGAGCCTACTATTGATCCGTAGCCCTACCAGTAACACATAGTTGATTAACACATATTTGGCATGTTATATGTATTATATGCTGTACTCTTACAATAAAGTATGCTAGAGAAAATGTTATTAAGAAAAGTGTCAGGAACAGAAAATACATTTACAGTACTGCATTGTATTTATTGATAAAAAAAAGTCCATGTGCAAGTCACCCATCCAGTTCAAACCCACGCTGTTCAAGGGTCAGCTGTACTTGCATGAACAAAGCAGCTGATCAGCAGCAGAGCTGGAATCTAGTTCCTATGTTCCTCTTATTAACGTTAGTTAGTTTAAATTTAACAGTGAAAAGTGCTACACATATAGTCTTTTCATCTAAAGAAAACAAAATGCATATAATTTACATGAACTAATCACTTAAACCAGAGGAAAAGACCTAAGTTTCTGCTGAGATAAAGGTGTCTCAAAATACTTTTAAAAACAGTATAAATGATGTTTCGGAGCTGGTTCTTACATTTTAAGTGCTCACCATCTAAAGCTTCTGAGTGGTAAAAACAAGAGAATGTAAACTTGGTCCACTGGTGCATTTCTGCTACTCTTATCAGCACTTATTAACACCAAGAGAAGAAACACAAAACAAATGCTCCGTCTAAAAGAAAATCAATTTTCAAAAATCCCACCTCCACATCAAGCCTGAAATGCTGAATTCTAGATAGAGGCAGGGATTCCAGTGTGGGGGTGGGGGCGGGGCATAACAGAAGGAGGAAGGGGCTTTGTCCTTCTGGTTTGTTTTGAGTCGAGTCATTTAATTTGATTTAGAAATAACATTAAAGAAAGACCTGCGATCTTTATGTTGACTGAATGGGGACTGGGAATAAAGAGAGTTAAGAAACACCAGGTTAAAGAAATTTCTATCCTTAACAAAAGATGACAAAACGCCCTGAGAAGTAACTTGAGGCCCCTTCAAGGAGCACAGCAAGGCCTGGCCTTTCTTAAGATCAGTAACAAGAATCCTGAATTGAAGGAATAAGTCATGCTGGGCACATCAGAGCTACCTTGCAAGGTTTTTCATTCATTGTTAAAACTTTGATGTGCTCTCCAAGATGAGCAAAGAGGGGGTAAAAAAAGGGATCTGGAGGAAAATCAGTCACTGGGAAGGTCATTGTGTACAATCAGATGAACTGAAAAGAACAGAACAATTTGAAGAAAAGCTAGGTATGGCCAAATGCTGTTTCCCACTCACACGGAAGTCCCCTTACTGCAAATAACAGAGAGCTGCTTGGCCCACGGACTCCTCTCCTCATAGGCCCCCTCTTCCAGGATGCCCACTACTGCATTCCAAGAGCCCACCCTGGCCCAACTTTGGCAAGGAGTCTATGAGCGCACAGATCAGCTGATGGCTTAGGAACCCACAGGGGACTTGAAAGTCATGCATGTGAGCAGGTACCTTAAGAGGATAGCTTAGAATGTGGAAAGCCAAGAGAGAACGTCACTCCCACCACGACGAGGAAAAGCCAAACTATAAATTCTTAAGTTTTCTTCTCTTCATCAGAGAACTGTGGTCACAAAGCAACCAAGGGAGCTGAATTCCAAAGGGTGACAGGCCCTTCCAAGGCCAGACAAGACATAGAAACTGCTTCATGTTTGACAGAGCATGGGAGGGAGAGGCCACCAGGGAAGCACATAAGAAGTCAGCTAAGATTTTAAGGAATTCGTACAGGCCAAGTGTGGGCTAGTATATCAGTGTAGAGTAACGGGGAGCCCCAGATGCAGGCAGAGTTTGCACGTATTTGTAGGTCTTCTTCATGGGTGCTTCTGCAAAAAATTGGGAGCAGAACAGGAGAGAGAGCCCCTCTCCAGGGCACAGGCATGGGGGGCAGATTGAAACTCTGCCTCTTTCCCCAACTACCCTCCTATATTGAAGCAAAAGCCTTAAGCCACTGAGGGAAAGGCAGGAAGCCCTCTTTCTCCTAGGACCACTGGGGTAAGGGTAGAAGTAAAATCCATTTATCTCTATAGCCAGGCAAAGATCTACTACCCCAAGGGGTAGAAGAACCTCTTGGACTCAGGAGCCTGCACTAATAAAAGCAGAACTCTACTACCACCAGGAGAGAGCAGAAAACTTCTCCTGCCCAAACTCCACACAGACGGCAGAGTACAGCTGCTCAGGGGAGCAGGGCAGGAATGCCCACAAGGTTCCATCCTGATGCGCAGGAACAGACAGCTGCCTAATACTGAAACCAGACCAGGAGGACAAAGAACTCCCCCTGACTTTCCCAGAAGCCTAGTGCCAAGGAGCAAGCAGTGTACCATGGAGGAGGGGCACGGACATGGAGAGAGACCCGTTTCTCACACAGGCATTTGCAGATGAAAGCTGAGGGCAGAGCAGGAACAATGAGTAAACCTCTGGGACCCTAGCCCGCACCCTAAACACAAGGCTATGGTGGCCCACTGGTGGAGGAATTTAAAGTCAGTGGTACGATAAAGGTAACAATGGCGACTCAAAATAGAAAACCGACACAATTATTGATTAGACTGGCTCAACTTCCCCAACACTAACGACCTAGAAGATGAAGGGGCATGGTCATTTCTGAGCATAAGTATTATTTACTTCAGTCTTTATTAAACATGATGCTTACCATTCAATCCAAATTACAGGACACACACACACAACACACCCCTAGACATGTCACAGTCAAATTGCTGAGAAACAAATACAAAACAAATACAAATTGCTGAAAAACAAATACAAAAAGAAAAACTTTAAAGTTATATACAGAGGAACACAAGCAAGAATTACAATTCAGGGGACACCTAGATGGCTCAGTCGGTTAAGTGTCTAACTCTTGGTTTCAGTGCAGGTCATGATCTCTTAGGTTGTGGGATGGAGCCCAGTGTCTGGCTCCTCACTCAGCGTGGAATCTGCTTGAAAGATTCTCTCCCTCTGCCCTTCCCCTTGCTCGTTCTTGTTCTCTCTCTCTCAAAATAAATAAATCAATCTTAAAAAAAAAAATTACAGGGGCGCCTGGGTGGCTCAGTTGGTTAAGCGACTGCCTTCGGCTCAGGTCATGATCCTGGAGTCCCGGGATTGAGTCCCACATCGGGCTCACTGCTTGGCAGGGAGTCTGCTTCTCCCTCTGATCCTCCTCCCTCTCATGCTCTCTGTCTCTCATTCTCTCTCTCTCTCAAATAAATAAATAAAATCTTTAAAAAAAAATCATTTAAAAAAAAAATTACAACTCAGGTGGATTACAGGTGATCCACTTACATCTAACCACAGGGCATCTACTTGACCCAGCTTGCAAATGTACTGAATTCTTTTCAAAAGTTATTCCCTTTTAAAGGACTAGAGTCCCTAAATTTTCCCGTGCTTCCACATAGGTGTCCCTAACCTAGATGTAGGTCTCTGAAGGCTCACAGGTGGGTTTCAGAGGCCTCAAAAGGCTGTGATTGGATTCTGAAAGTGATACGCAAACCCATCCCTCTTCCTCTAAGAGGTTTAGAATCATGGCCCTTATTAACATAAACTTCAGAAGGCAAAGAAAAAGATTAGCATTTCCTAAAAAAGAATGTCAACCTTAAATGTTAAAGGCAAAGGATATATGTTTTTCAGGGTTGTCAAGGAAATTTTAAGGCTATCCAAAAGAGAAATGACAAACTGAAAGACAGGCAAACAAAAGGAAACCACATAATTTATGGATATAAGTAACAGAATTTCACTAATAATGGCAAAATCAATCAATCATAGAATGAGTTCTTATTTATAGCTGTGCAATAGGTTTTCTCAATTCCAAGGTAGAACAAAATAATCCAACAGCTTATAAACTTTCTAGTTTAGGAATCACCCACAGAAATATCATGAGCCACAAGAGGTGAGCTAGCATTGCATATTCTCTATTCCTCCATCTTTCCACCTGTAAAACAGAGACTTAAAAAAATACCTGTGCCCCCCATGTGTTATTTATAGTATCTACTTCATAGGGTTGTTATAATAATAAATGAGTTCACAGCTGGAAAGTGCTCTAAATGCTGCCTGAAGTTTTGTACACCCGAGATGCTGTTTAATAAATACATTTCAGGCTGAAATTATTTCTTCATAAAATAATAAAAAGAACATGATTATAAATGTGCAATTGCAATACTCCAATCACTTAGGATTTGTTGAAGGTTAGTCCCATTCCAGAAGGAACAGAATGAACACATTTCCCCTCTGGGTCTTGTTTCACTGAGGCTACTAATTAATGATACTGTAGGACTTTTGTGCACAACCAAGTGGATGTGATTCCCAAAGATATATTGGGAAACTGTCAAAAGCAGCCAGATGCCCTCTTCAGCAGGTTGTACCCCCACATTCATAGGGCACAAATAAATAAACTAGTTCTCAAGGTCTTTTGTTAATTTTATTTTATTTACTTATTTTTAAAGATTTTATTTATTTATTTGACAGAGACACAGCAAGAGAGGGAACACAAGCAGGGGGAGTAGAAGAGGGAGAAGCAGACTTCCTGCAGAGCAGGGAGCCCGATGCGGGGCTCCATCCCAGGACCCTGGGATCATGACCTGAGCCGAAGGCAGACGCTTAACGACTGAGCCACCCAGGCGCCCCTCTTTTGTTAATTTTAAATCCCATCAATTTAGTTAGATTTATAATTTAACTCACATATAAGTATTCATATTTGAAACAATGATCCCCATAATATTTTTGTCTAAAAAATAATGAAATGACTTCACTCAAAGCACTTTCTGATCAGAATTATTCAGATGATTCCCTCTACTTCATACGCCCATATTATTTCTTAGTGTTCAAAATAACTACACACAAAGAAAACATATTTCCAATTCCTGTAAAATGAAGTTTTCAAGGTCAGGTTAAAGCTTCCAATTCATTGGCTGTAATGGGTTACACCTGCCTTGAAAAAAAAAATTGGGTCTTTAATTATGAAATCAGAGGACCATAATGGAATACAATATTTTTATGACAACACTCTTTTGGTCAAACACTTTCACTACCACTGAAATATTTATTCAAAGTAAATTTACAAAACCATAATGTACATCTGTGTCCGATGTAAACTGCAATAAAATTCATCAGTTTTCTCCAGTAATGAAAAACTTAATGGTGAGCACTGAGCTCCTATAAACTATACAAGTGCTACTTTACATTCCAGTGAAAATATTGATGCTAATGGATTTTAATTTATGATCTATAATGGTACTTAAGCGGCCCACTTTGGTGTAAAAATTGTCAGTGTTTCCCAACTGTGTATATGGTAATTCCTTATTCAGCACATCATAAAGCCTGCTGATTTCCTATACTACAGAGCTATTTCAAGATATGGTTACAGAACTTTGTTAATAACTGTTTGGTAAATCATACTGAATTTTAAAAGCCACACAAGTTGAATCACATACTATGTAATCTTAGCCACCAATATGATCAATTCTAAGAGTAGCTTCTCGATCACAATTTTTCCGCCTAAATTGTGCTGGTTCTTCACTATTTCGGGATAGCATAGGAGGAAGAATTTATTTTTCTCACTTTTTACCCTTAAATCCACTGCTGCTTGGCACTGAGGGGATATGACAGCTCTGCAGGGGTAGTCAGGAGTCAGAAGGAAAGCTTCAGGGGTGCCTGGCCGGCTCAGTTGGTACAGCGTGCAACTCTTGATCTCGGGGTTGGGAGTTCAAGCCCCATGTTGGATGTAGAGATTACTTCCAAATAAAATCTTTAAAAAACAAAATAGGAAAGCCTCACAGACCTGTAAGCAGGCAGATCTGCAGACCTGCTGCCTTGGGCCACACCCACCACAGGGAAGGAAAAGACAGTAGCTCTTTCAGTCAGAAATTTTAATATTTCCACAATTATTTTAAAATTAAATATTAAAAGGAAAATTGCTTCACAGACAATTTACTCTGCAATCACCTTGTTTATTATTTTCTATCTTGTCTTATAGGCAAAACAAACTTCTTCCTGGAGCCTTTTTTAATCCAATGGTTTATTTGCATATGAAATTAGTGTGTGTGAACAATTAGATCAGAAAAAAAAAAATGAATGAATCATATAAAAGGGAAAGTTCACTTTCTACAAAATATTCTTTTAAGTTCCAAACCATTCACAAGGCTGTGCTAGTCCGGCCCTCAATGCCATCTCTTCTCCAAACTCATATAGTAGTTAAAGTCTCTACCCTGTAATTTAACACTTTATTATAGTCTTATTCTATTCTCTAATTGTTTTATGTGGGTTAGCCTTATCTCTCAAGCAGAAAGTGAACTTTTTGAGGGAATGGGCTATGTCTTATAGTCCACAGCCCCTGGTGGGACCAATGCTGGCCATCAGAACAGTAGGCCCTTTTCATGAACAGGTAATCTCCATGATCAAGAGGTCAACTCAACAAAAGGATGTAACATTTGTAAATATTTATTTTATGCATCTGACATAGGAGCACCTAAATATATAAAGCAAATATTAACAGACCTGAACGGAGACATAGACAGCAATACAATAATAGTAGGGGACTTTAATACCCCACTTTCATCAATGGATCTATCACCCAGACAGAAAATCAATAAGGAGACACTAGCCTTAAATGACATGTTAGACCAGAGGAATTTAGCAGATACATACAGAACATTCCATCCAAAGGCAACAGGATACACATTCTTTTCAAGCGCAGATGGAACATTCTCCAGGATAGATCGTACGTTAGGTCACAAAATAAGTCTTAATAAATTTAAGAAGACTGAAACCATATCAAGCTTTTTTTCTGACCACCATGGTACGAAACTAGAAATCAATCACATGAAGAAACCTGGAAATTCACAAGTACATGGAGATCAAATAAAATGCTACTGAACCACCAGGACGTCAGAGGAAATGAAAAGAATACCTTGAGACAAATGAAAATGGAAATACAACATACCAAAACTTATGGACGCAACAAGAGCTGTTTAAGAAGGAAGTCATAGCAATAAATGCCTACGTTAAGAAACAAGAAAAATCTCAAATAACCTAAGTTTACACCTCCAAGAACTAGAAAAAGAACAAAGCTAAGAGCTATTCGAAAGAAGGAAACAACAAAGATCAGATTGGAAATAAATGAAATAGAGAGTAATAAAACAATGGGAAAGATCAATGAAACCAGGAGTTGTTTTTTTTGAAAAGATAAACAGACAAACCTGTAGCTAGACTTACCATGAAAAAGAGAGAGAGGACTCAAATGATTCAAATACAGAAAATCAGAAATGGAAGAGGAGTATTACAGCTGATACCACAGAAATACAAAGGAAGAGTTATGTTAACTCTTCCTCAAACGTCTGGTAGAGTTCACCAGTGAAACCATCTGCTTTTGAAGGCTTTTCTGTGTTGGGAGGTTTTCACAAAAATTTTAAAGCACTTATTTTTTTTAATGAAGTGCTTTTTGTATACTGGTCACATGCTCTTACTACTGAGCATGCCTCCAAGATGTGTTTGTTTGTTTATTAAATACATGTGCTAGCTACTAACAGATTGTGTATGCTAGAAAACATTCACAGAATTAAACTGAAGTTCTAACGTTTTCTTCCAGGAGTACTCAACTTGGCAACTGCTGCTCTAAGCCATGAGCCCCAAGCTCAGTGCTGCGGCTCAGCAGGCTCTGGAGACCCATCCCCTGCCTTGCAGCCTTCGGCCATAAAAACCCTGTAGGCCTTCTTCGTGGATCCCGAGTCTCGACCTCCCAGGGCTGGTCCTAGCTGTGGTGAGTGCTTCATGGCTTCCCTTTCTTCTGGCTCTTCATCTAGACAGCCTCTGGACGGGCCCCTCCAACACCCTAACTCCTGGTGCATCTGCCCTCCACCACTTGTTCCACTCGGCTTTCTAGGAAGAAGGAATGACAAGTGCAGAGGCACTGAGGCCCAAGCGACGTTGAGTATTCCAGCACACAAAGGAGACCAATGTGGCAGACGTAGAGAGTGGATGAGGATGGGGTGAGGGCTGAGGCCGGGAGACAGCAGAGAGACAACTACAGTATCCCACACGTGGGACCATGGTAGCTGGAGCCCTGGCGGTGACAAGAGATACGGAGAGAAGGGGATGGCTTCACGACAATGTCAGTGACAGAGCTGATGACACAGGCTGATGGCCTGGAGGCAGCACATGAGAAAAACGGAGGAGTCTGAGGCGGCTGCCAAGTTCCTGGCTCGATGAAATGGTGCGCGATGTCGTGATGTCTAAGTAGATGGGTAGACTGAGGGCTAGTTTGGGGGGCAGGGAACTGAAAGGAAAGTGAGGAACAGAGACAGTGAGTGTGGCTCACTCCATGAAGAAGGGAGTTAGAGGGAGGGAGAGGGAGTGTTTCGTCAGACTGGAGACCATACAGCAGTGTTCTAGGCTGAAGGGATTCACCCCAGTAAAGAAGGGAAATTAATGATACAGGAGAGAAGAAACCTGTCTCTGAAGGAGCAGAGTCCTTTGGGAAAGCAAGAGATGAGACTGTCATTAGCTGCCTGAAAACGGTGGCTTTTGAGCTGGATCCTGATGGAAGAGGAAGGGAAAGCTAATCATAGGGAGCAGCAAATGCAAAGACATGAGAGAGGAAAGAGCCTACAAGGTTTGAAGCCTCTCAGGGGGCCTGGGAGCAGGAGAAGGGGAAGCAGGCCAGAGGAGGCCTCCCAGTCTGGGGAATGCATACTCCCGCGCCACAGAAAGAAAAAAATACAAATATGTACAAAACTGATAATCATGCACATTTTTCCTATGTGTGCAAGTACAACTCACCACGTGTTTTAAAAGGTCAACAAAGGGGAAAAGCCTCATTTGTTTGACAACTTTAAGAATCACCAGCCCATTTATGTAGGTATTTATTTTGCTTCTTCCTTAACAGTCTAATAAAACTGAGCTAAAGGATAGATAATGTTTAAATGTTATACAGTTTATCAACCTCCCTGAATGAATGAACTCAAAGATTACTATTTTGGACACCAGATAGAAACCGGCACACTTCTAAAATAACTTTTAAACAGTTACAATGATCTCAAAATGTTATAGTACACATTGTTACAGTCCAATGTTTTTTTAATTATGGAAAATTCTTAAAGTCAATTCCAAACCCACTGCTTTTCTCCTTAGAGAGATTCAGTGCAAATAAAAGATTTTCTCATGCAAACACCTGCTGAAGTGGCACAGATGGACCTTCAAAATCTTTTTATCTACTTGATTTACAGCAACAACGTACATACGCTTTATGTCATGCCCACAGTAAGACATATTTTTTTTTTATTAAAAGCCATGCCTGGGTTAAGCAATCAATAAAAATGCCAATGCCAACATGGCAGGAATCCATAAGACTTGCGCGATTAGCCTAGAGCATTTGCAAAATAGAGCAGTGCCAATTTGGATTGCAGAAGGTCCGGTTCTGCCATTTTCCTTAATCGTTGTATACCCTTTTAAAACCACAAGTCCCTTCCAGATTAATTAGCTCATCAAACTAAAATGAAAAGCAGTTTTAAAAACCAGTAAGATCTCATCATTAATGCATCTCAGATGGTCTATGCGGCCAGTGACCAAAGCCACTGAACTGCTTCAGTGTGATCCTGTGTCACCATTTCCAGCCCTCGGCACTGTGAGGCTTGGCAACGGAGAGAAAACAGGTCCCCGGCGCACAGGTAATGCCACGCAGCCAGCAACACTCGTTCTACAGACAGCCTCCTGTACCTGGCTCACGTTTTAGTAGTACAACACAGAACACACTGTGAATAGGGGTCTCTACCCCATTCTGTATAGAACATAAAATCAAGAAGCTCAGGCAATCCTACGAAAATACATCCCATAAACTTTGGTTTTGAGATTTGGAACTAGAAAGGCTTTTCATGCATATGTTTCAGGATACTGGTGTGAAGACGAAATACAGGCATTTCTAAGGCATGCTTAGATTTTCTACAAAGGTATGACAGTTGACCTTTGGACAACACAGGTTTGAACTGCGCAGGTCCACTTATACATGGATCTTTCTACAGCACAGCACTGTAAATGTATGTATCTTCCTTATGATTTCTTAATAACATTTTCTTTTCTCTAGCTTACTTTATTGTAAGAACATAGTATAAAATACATGTAACATACAAAATATATGTTAATCGACTGTTTATGTTACTGGTAAGGTCAAGAGTAGGCTATTAGTGAAGTTTTGGGGGAGTCAAGAGTTATATGTGGATTTCTGACTGCGCAGGATGGGGCTGGGGGGAAGGGGGTTAACAGCCCTACCCCTGCGTTGTTCAAGGGTCAACTGCATAATGTAAAGGCAAAAGATTTATGCGATCTGAAGAGAAACCAGACTATCAACTATATAATGTAAACTTAAAATACCACACTTAACTATATTGTATTTTATTTCATTAAAGTTATCCAGGAGTAGAAAACAAGAACTAATTCCGAGTCTACTTGCAAACCAATCACCGAAAGTCCTTACTAAGCAGGATGCTGTCCTTATTCCAGGAATCAGGCTGCTATACCTACCACCTCTAAACAGTGCTTCAATTTCTGAGTGTCGAAGCTGACCCTTCAGCCCATTATGCAACTCTGCACTGACTCACTAAGGCCCAAGCTTCTCCCAGAGAAGATTTC